GATAATCAATGTACACCAAATAAAGTAAATAAAACCGTACAAATAACATTTAAATATACATGTGTATGTTTAAAACATATTACATAACAAACAGTTTTTGTAATTATTTAAAAAACTGGTGTAAGTTAAAATCTGTTAAAATAATTAACTGTTGAAATCGAGCTTTCGTCAACTGTCATTTTCCTACAAATGTCTATCCACAGACACCGATACGACCTCCCATGGATAGCTTGTATCGACAGATGGCTATTACAATCCGTGGATTGGTTCTTGGTACAAATGTTACAACATTTGAATTAAGATTACTATCTCAGATGGTGGATTATGGATTGAGATAGGTTATTGGGTTCGGGTGTAAATCCAGTTGACAGCCAGAAATCAGCTCATAATGTTTGTTTTTCATCGTAGACAAAGTAGTTACGGTAGAACTTATCCAACGTATCTCAACCAAATATTATAACCTCCAAATGCGAATCCTCAAACTCGTTGTCTCGAGAAATGTTCTCGACTCATATAAAAATGAAGAAAGAGGAATTTTCAAACACTGCAAAATACTGCATAACAGAAAAAGTAATTAGATGTCTTCTAGTCGAGCACTTTTTCGAGATGACATAAAAAAACGTGTGGACGTACAGACTTGAGCGGTAACGCAAGTTTGGCTCTGTACATCGAGAGCACACAACGTATACGGCGAGAGCACGTTGAGGTATTTGCTACCGCGGATAATAAATGGTCTACCCAATCAGTTATTAGATTGCCTAACGCCAACAAACATAAACATTAAATTAAAAAACTACTTTTATATGCATTTGTCGCGCTCCTAAACAAGACTGCTATGGTTACATTAATACAAACCACAGCGGTTTTCAAATGTAACATATTATGATTGTATTTTATTATTTTGTAAAAGAAATAAATTTAAAAAAAGTGTGTGTGTGTCAGCTACGACGCACGATTGGAGTTTACTCCTTACGAACGATAAAATGGCGATAATGTTCTGTGGCTGTCGACCATATTTTCATACTAAAGGTGGTAAGAATATATGTTTTTTATAATATAAATGTTTGTAGTTGTAATAAAACGTATCTATATCATCTATGCCCAAATAGGATTTTCTTTCTGTGACCAAAGTTACCTTTATAGTAAGAGAAGAATAAGAATGAACAATCTTTTTAGTTTTAATTTCACTGACCATTACTATTGACAAAACTCTATGGCACGCTAGACAATCTACTTTTATTTTTTACACCTGTCAACACTGACAATGTTGTAACGTGGCTGTCAAAACGTGAATTCAAAATAGAAAAGTCTGTGTAATGTATTCCATCTCATTCTTTTACACGTTCAATCCTACAGATGTATATGTTTGTCTCTTTCTACATAACGCCTCAACTTTTCGTGTTACACTTGATTTTACTCCTCATAAAATTTCCGTACCGGGCCTTATAACTCAAATCATTTCTTAAGGAGTAAACTCCAAAAAAACTAAATAAAAACAAGTATGTTTTACCTTTAATTCTCAATAACAAATGAATCCTTAATACTCTTTTTTATTTACGGGCCAGCATTATTTTAATTTGTGAGCTAGAAACAATACAATGTAATAATTAAATAAGAGAACCACAAAGAGGAGTTTTATCTATTGAATCATTGTTATGTAGAAAATTTATAGACGCATAAACATTTAAATTTAGTTAATTGCCATATATTTTTAAGTTTCGTCGATTTTATAGGCAATCAATAATTATTTTAAAAAGCACAATTTACATCCAAACTACATCGTAAAATTTAAAACATAGTTTGCATAAAGGACTTTATGAGTTAAAGAAAGTCGTAAATCAATATTCTAAAAAGGCATAAAATTAAGTATTCTTGTTTTAAATAATAATTTTATAACGTCTAAATACTTTAGAATCCAGTTAGAATAGTTTTCAAAGCTATTAAACTAAGATTGTAATTCTATTAAGTTGAAATCTTCTCTTTTTTATTTATTTATCCTTTATTTCAACGGTATTTGCATACGAATGATTAATTGCCAAAGACAATGTTATGATTGAAAAATTATGTAAGTGCGAACTATTTTTGGCCCGTGCCAGTCCTTTACATAAAAAATAAATTTATTTAATTATTTACACTTCGTTACATTTATACAAAAACAAATAACATAATTTATAAAAATTATAAATGAAGCAACGGGCGGTCTTATCGCTAACAAGCGATCTCTTCCTGGCAAAAGAACTTCACTTAAAAACATTACAGCCGGGAATCGAATCTACGGCCTCAGGGATGAGAGTCACACGCTGCTCTTTTGTCCTTTACATAAAGTTAATTTTTAAACGATGCTTATTAGTAAAAATATTTTATATTGTTATAATATTTTTTTATTATTTGTATTCACAAATACTTCAGAAGCAAATACAAATGAAACAATAACTAAGTAATTATGAAGATTAGTAATACATAGATTTATTTCACATACATGAATACCTTATGGTCGAAATTGCAACGAAAACCATTTGAAGGCTTTGCGCCTACAACCTGTCAAAAGATCATGCCTACACGCACAGCTAGTAAATCACATGCGAAAAGAACAAAAGCTATTGTTTAGGTAGTACTAATGTTACAAATAGCAGCAACGTGTTATGAAAGAAAATTACATGTTCCTGTTCTGTTACCATAAAATTTAGGATTTTTTATTTATTTATTTATAAGTTCTAAAACAACGTGTATGCACAAAATTGTACAAGAAAATATCACATCACATATTTTACACACATACAACATCGATTATATTAGAACATAAGCGAGCTAGCACAGGAAAAAATTTAACAAGCAACCACAAAAAAAAATAAAAAATATAATATACTATATAATATCTAAAACTAAATAGAAACTTAAACCTCATTAAGAGGATGATAAACAAAGAGTAAGTTGGAAGATTTTTGTAAAACACATCAATATTTTCATCGACGTTAGTAATCAAGTTGTAACAGCGAGATAGACTTGCTGGGCCATTAAAAGTTGCAGATAAGCGTGCCGTAGGTTTTATGAAGGAGAGTTACTGATTTTAGTCTCGACTCTCACTTAAAACTTGGAGTTAAATCTCTTCTTCCTTTGGTGCCTCTGTACTGGAGCCGTCAGTCTCGTGAAGCCTATGCCAGATGCAGCAACTCTTCCGCAGTCGCAATACCCGAGCAATAATAATGTTGCGAAGCCTTGATTATTGTCTTCCGTTCAGTTTTGTAATTTAATACAAATCAAGAGCGGACCGTATCTCCCTCCTTATGGATTCTTCTATGTGTTTACCATAGTCACGTTATATGATGATTTGATATGTTCAAAGAGTTCCGAGAGTTACGCCGGCTTTTTCTCTCTGCCTACAACCTCGTCTTCTTTGCCGATGAATAGGGATGTTTACCTTTACAAATTTAATGACATGGAATAAGTCATACCTGTATCTTATATTTTTTAATATATATTTTTATATACTCCCGTTCTCTCGGGATTGTACCTCATATAAGTCAATCAAGTTATTCAGCACATTTTAATAATTTTGAATGTTTCTTAATTAAAATTTGTTATAATAATCGTTAACCTTTTAGTCTCTTCCTTAAATTAATCAGTCATGACATTTGAGTGCAATAAATGAGCTTTTTATTAGCAAAAAATAAAAAATATTATTAAAAGTTTAAACTTTGTGTAATAAACTCACTAAACCTTGCAGTTGATGTCATTACAGAGTAAGACAAATTACATTAATCTAGATCGTAGATTTAAATGGTATCACCAAAATTGTTCACTTCGTGAATGGCGTAAGTCTGGTCACGAAGTATAAAACGGGTCAAGGGTAAACTTTATTAAATAGTTTGTATGTCTATAAAGAAAAACAAAAATAATTGCTGCTGAGCAATATACCCTACAACTTAAATGTAGATGGGCCCTTTATACAGATGACAGATGGTCTAAAACAGTACCCAAATGGAATGGTTCCAAAGGAAAAAGGAACGAGGGCAGACAAATAGAGCGATGGGCCGTCGGGATCGAAAGGGTAGCTGGAAAAAATTGGATGACGATGGCACAAATTAAAATAGGGTGGAAAAAGTTGGAAGAGCCTTCTCCCAGACAGGGGCCTTTATATATAATTTTTTTTTTAAATGTATGTCAATAAGATGTGGTTGAATAAAGTCTTATTATTATTATTGACTAGCGGACCCGACAGACGTTGTCCTGTCTTAACTGTGAATATTGATTTCGAATTGGTATAATTAGTTAATTACCCCTATCGAGTTGCATAGTTATGCAGCTTTGTAGGAGTCAAACGCAACATTTTTATATTGTTGATTTCGATTCCATCGATTCCGTTCGCTTCTCTTGTTCAATGTTATGTAAAACGCCATAAGGTTACATCAAAAAAGTTTGAATTGAATTAAATTTTCTATTCTAGAAAGAATCTTCTCCTGACAATAACAAACACAACAAAACACGAATTAGCGAAATCGGTCCAGCCGTTTACGCGTGAGCCGTGACTAAGGGAAATAGGGATTCATTTTTATATATATATAGATACGTCAATGGTATGTATATCTTTGATATAAATTTATCTGAGAAAATTCATAGTTTCAAGAGTGAACTAAAGTTCGCGTGAGGTCTCGTGAATCTAAAGTTTAAATATTTATGAATAAGATTGTCGTGTTTCATTCTACACACTAATGCCGCTCTTCTCCATTTTAGCATTTTTTTAATTATTGCGTTTCCTAAAAGTTTTGCTACTAAATATATTTTTAGTCCTAGCATGCTCTTTTCAATTTTCCTTTACACAATATAATAATAAATAAATATAATACTCTAAGTTTGTGTTTTTATAATAGCCAGTTATATGACTGAGATGGATCGATATTACGCAGAATCTTTAAATATTCACTAACAAAAGCTATATATTGTAACATTATCAATGAAACATTTGTGAACCAGCAAGACTGTCCAGGCGCCAGGGTGGGGTCATGAACGCCGTGACCGCCCCTGGTTCGTACCACGACATACTGGTAATGATATTGAACAATAGCCCTGATAAGTTGAAATTCACAATTCACAGATAAATGATTGCGCCTACAGGCTATATTAGTTGCTATTATGCGGATACAATGGACTAATCTAATGAAGGACGATTGATAAGTGGAATGATAAACGGCCTTTCGAAAGCCTTTAGCCAGTCTTTGTGTATGATAATTTTCTATTAATATATCGTGGAGTGTTGCGTAGTGTTTTTTGTTAGAATTAATTTTTATCAGAGACGGAGGAGAAATTTACAGGCAATGTTTTTGAATAAATGTACCACATATCTAGTGTGTTATTGATAACTTCTTCAAACAAACTATTTCATCCATAATACTCTTTATTACAGTAGGATTTATATATTGGAGACGATGTAGAGCGCATACGATGAAAGCGCAGGAAGGCTTCTGAAGAGCAAATTAAAGTCAACAAAAGGAAAAAGCCTACATATCCTGGAACTGTGAAGAAACTGTAGTATTAAAAATAAATTGTGTAGCAGAAACAAGAGCCAATAAAAAACCATATCTCTTAGGTCTGACTGCACGCCAAAATGTAGGCGAAGCTGTGAAAACTTTAAAAGCTCGTAGATTAACCGAATGTTGTGTTTACTTTCCTTAACATTCGTTTCGGCAACTTTCACCGCCCCATAAATGATACCTGTTCCGAAGCATCTATTGATTGTCATTATCACTTATAAATAAGCTTACGAAAGTGAATTTGACACGGAAACCAGAGTTTTTATAATTCATACTGCTGTATCGGGTGTCTCGATATTAAACACTAATGATACGTTACACCATAAGTACACGTTCGAAGAATCATTTACATTAATTTAAACCTATAAAATCATCCACGTATAATCAAGTAGTAATAAAACAGGAAATTGCTAGTAATTGACGATCGTATTGCTATAAATTTTAATAAAAGAACTTCTTAATTTTGTTTGGTAATAATTGAATTTGGGCATCACAATATTTACGATTTAAAAGGTGCCAAACAAAGTTTGAATAAAGAATTCTAAGGACCTCGTACGAATGGGGATGAAAAGGGCACGCGTGGTAAGCAGATGCTTCACAGTCTCTGCATCTGCCCGACACGTGCGATTCTGACCCTAACCTAGTGTAAAAAGACCGGTTTGAAATGGAGGTCACCTGCCGAATGCTCTATATTATTCCGGAATTATAACGAGATACGCCCAACACTTAAAGATGATACGCGTAATATACCGATTTCCCCAAATTATACAATACGTATACTAAACTTTTCTTATACCACCTTGTAATAGTGACGGCATACACCGCCGTCTTTTCAGGAATCATCGTCATTAGTAGGCAAAGAGCAGATTTTTTACGCTCTATCTTGATTCTTATAATAGATAAACACTTCAAAAACAAAATTACGTCTCCTTGAAACCTTCCTTTGTTTGTCAATTTGTCTTCTAAATTGGGGTTGCGCTGGGAGACAGCGTTTTAGTTAACACAGTGAAGGTAGAGTGAGATTATGAAATCGTATGATATATTAATAACTTTTGAAATAAGAACTAATAACTGATACAGCAATGGTAGCCTGCAATCGAGATTAAAGTGTTTTATGCAATATAATTGCACAGGATGTTATAAAACTGGGTATTTGCAGCGTTTTGATGATAGAAAATAACTTTATTTTATCATAATGGAATTTATATGTTGCAATCGTTCTTTATGTAAGTGTAAGCATATTTTTTTCTTTATGGGGCAAAAGGAAAAGGAGCAGGGTCATTTAGAATTAAGTGCTAACCGCCCATGAAGACCTGTAATACCAGGAGACTAACGTCTAAAGAAAATGGTATGATATTTTCGTAATGCGTTTGGAAATACCTCTGGTGGAAGCTGGTTCCACAGCGGTGCGCGTAAAATTGCCTTAAAAACACTGTCGTGGAACCAATTGATACAAATAGTATTTCTGCCTTGTCAGCCAAAATTCTATAGGCATATGTCCAAACATTTCTACAGAGCACTTCCGTGATAAATACGATAGAATATGCAGAAGGATCCTACATATCTATCAATATTTTTATTTAAAATGAGGAAAATCAAATACTTATGAAATATTAGTTAGGAAAGGGATATGTGTGAAAATAACACGAGCACTTAAGAAGGTGCAGCGCTAATTCATACAATTCCTCACAATCGAGTAGCCCGTAATATCGCAGCACACAACTCCCGGAACGTTTTGTATCGAAGAAGTCGCATAGTCGCCAGGCATTCATGAATATACAAGGTAAATACATAAAACTGCAAGATTGCTAAAACGATACGCCGAAAGTCTCTATGGTCTGCTGTAAATGTCCACCGAGTCATTTTTCATCACAGCTTTAGTGTAAATGATGAGCACAAACGTGAGACAGGATATTTGTTTCTAGTCAAGCGTACTGAATAGGTAACTTTTACCCGAATTCTCTGAGGATTTCAATAAAACGTTAACGTAAGCGTATATGGCCATACATTGTCCTAACAAGGGTTATCTGTCAGACAAGTTTGTTTGGCCTTGTAAAGCGTCTTGTTGATCGTAATCGCCTAATTTACGATCGTGCGACGTACTGTATTTTCTTTTATGACCCGGACATTGGTTGAAATGCATTTACAGTAGCGGAACTTTGTGTTTTTTTACTAAGTTCTACGTACATTAGTATTTTTAAATTTAACAAACGATATGCGATTGTCTCTAATGAGGGTAGATGAAAATGTACGTAAAGATTTGCGAATCAAATTCAATGGCCATTCAATTTAATTGATTCAACTGCCATTGAAGTTTTAAAATACAAAAAAAAAACAATTTTTTGGCACCAAAGGAAATTTTTCATACAACTGAGATGCATCTACCCTCATTAATAATTTTCGTGTATCCTTTACTTAATCAATCCCATTTTCAATATTAGGTACCCCGTTATTCCAAGGTCCAGTTCCATTGAAAAAACTACATCCAAACTGGGTTTAGTCTAACTAATTATTTAAATCGCTTAGAGAATTTAGCGGTAAGCTTGCTGCTAACCTTAATATTAATGCAAAAGATTGGTAATTAATACATAATTTGTATTTTTTGTTATCATATTTAATTGTAGTTTATAACTTCCACATCCAACAATTATTGTTATAATTTACCGGAAAACATTCTATTATGAAGGTTTTTCAAGATGAAAGATTACGTTAATTACTATAATCTTGCAAAATTCAGGATGCCATTACTTATAACTTATAATGCAAAATGTTGCCTTATAAGTTATAATTTTGAATTTATTTTTGAACCCTTTTTAAATAGAAGTCTCGACCGCGTCTATGGTTGTGTTTTTTTTAGTTTAAACTAATAGATATAGAGGTACCTGAGGAATGTCTAGGTATTTGATTCCATATGATTTAATGTAAATTTACTGGTGTATTATTGTTCGGAAAAAATCTTGATAAAAATCTACATCGCCGAAGTTACGGGCCGAGGGTAGTAAACCCTATAAAAAGGTTTTACTGATGCGTAATTAATTAGGAATCTCCGAACAGGAATGCCGATCAGTGCTCTGATGCGTTTCGTGACTCAACACTTTTATTATTCGCACGAGAGATCCTTATTTATAAAAACTAAATCAGTCTTGATACACTTTTAACTACAATATTTTAGAGTTGTTTTTGCCTAGTGTTTTGAGCGACTCTCATCCTAGGGTTCGAACCCCGGCTGTGCACCAATGGACTTTTCTGTCTATGTGCTCCTAACACTCGCTGGTAAAGTAAAAGATAACATCGTGAGGAAGCCGGCAGGTCTTATACCCAAAAGGCGACAGTGGGTGTCAGGCACAGAAGGCTAATCACCTACTTTCTCATTAATAAAGATCACGAAATATACAGAAGTCTGAGGCCAAAGCTGGGGGAGGTGGTCGCGCCCCTGTTTTTTTCCTATTTTACGAATTACTAAACAGATTTTATAGTCTAGTTATATTTAACAATTTGTAAGGAGTAAACTGTTTTAAAAACGTATATACTTTTTTTTTTTTAGCAAGAAGCTATTTCTTAAACGATTTTTTATTTTTGCTTAATTGATTATTATCTACACCACATAAAATACTCTTTCCTTTTGTTATGTTAGATTTTTCAGTATACATTTGCAGCTGTAAAATGGAAGTTTTACGGCTACTACAGATACCGGCAAACTTCTTGAGCATTAAACTAGGGAGTGGGGGAAAGTTTGCGCATCGCGGGACACAAACGTCAACGGATTTACCAATCACGTGATTGACACGTCACTCTCACGCCGCCGCACACCACCGCCAAGTGTTACCTAAAAATCACTTCTGCGCAGGCAAGGACATTTGTTCAAGATGTTTGCCGGTATCTGTACTAACCTTTCAAGAGAAATATCTATAGACTAGATACAAAGGACAAGCCTAAAAATGAGGCTAAAAACAAGGCGCAATAAAATAGCGCGTATAAATGTACTGATCAACTTGTTGCCGGACTTAATACCAGTAAATAACTATTACGAGTTTTGGTTCAATTAACATCACTTTTTTGACACTTGTATCACATAAATAACTCAAAATAGGTCCCCAGGCTGAGTCATTCCGCATATATCGAAAGCCTGGGATACAGCCAAAGGCTACGTCTGGTCACTACCCGTCTTTTACATTTGTAAGACAAGGATAGCTATGTTTATGCCACTGTGGGAGAGCCCTGAGGGATTTGAAAATCGCTCAAATTCAATTGTTTTACGCACGCAAAACAATTTATGCCTAATACGCGTATAAAACCCGGAATAAGCGGTTGTTATTATTATAATCTATTTCTGAATGTACACAAATATATTTAGACTAATTGCAATTCGATAGAATGTTTTAGGGAAACGTCAGGGAATTTAGAAACGTATATATATATCGCTTTAAGTCCCGTTTCGGAATACCCTGGATCAAAATGTAAGATGAGATACAGGAATAATAGTTTCGGCTATGTCTCCTTTCAAGACTTCACAT